TAATACTGAGTGTCAACTTGATGGGAGTGAAGGATACAAAGTATTAATCTTAGGTGTTGCCAAAAGAGATTAACATTTGAGTCAGTGGGCCAGGAAAGACAGATCCACCTTTAGTCTTGTGGGCACAAACTAATCAGCTTCCAGTGAATACAAAGCAGGCAGCAAAACTTGAAAAGGAGAGACGGGCCTAGCCTCCCAGCCTACATCTTTCTCCCATGCTGGACGTTTTCTGCCCTTGAATATCAGACTCCAAGTTTTTCAGTTTTGGAAACTGCACTGGTTCTCGTTGCTCCTCAGCTTGCCGACAGCTTATTGTGGGATCTAGTGATTGTGTAAGTTAATACTTAAAAAAAGTCCCCTTTATATGTATACACACACACACACACCAAGCACATATACGATCGAGCCATCGATCATGCTTTATAAATACCACACAGCACACATAACAGCACGACAACAGTAAGTACCCACACATATATACACACACAACTATAATATTACACAGGCAGCACAGCATATATAACACACACACTCAGTACACAACCAGCATAGGTATTATTATAGCACACACACATATATACACGACACCACACACACACACCAGATGACACACACACACTTATATATTACACACAGCACACATTACACAACACACATATGTACACCAACTATATACACACGACACATAATACACACACAGCTATCATATATATTCACACACACACTCGATACAACACACACACATATATACCAACACACACGAGTATTGTGATACACACACATAGTGTACAGCAACACAATATACACACCGATCACATTAACACCACACACAAACATATACACACACACACATACACACACACACGTACGCACACACAGGTAGATATATACACACACATACACATATATATAGCCTATTAGTTCTGTCCCTCAAGAGAACCCTGACTAATATAGTGAGTAAGTAAGTTAATCTTTGTTGGTAAGTCTCTTGTTATAAACACTCTTAAAGATGTACTGGTAGAGATTTCTTTAAGTGCCCTTTATTTTTAACAAAGTATTCTCTTTTCTGTTTTGTTTTGTTTTTTTTTTAGTTTATGTTAAGGTTTGGTTCACTGTTAATAGTAAATGACATCTCAAATGCTTAGACATCTAGCTGATTGTAAAATGTTAGCTAAAATGGATCCTCTCTTGAAACAGTGTTGCCAGATATTTAAAAATGAATAGAAATTATATTCTTTTTCTGTTTTTTAAACCATCATTTTTACATTCTGAGTTTCTGGAAATTGAGGTGCAGCTGTATATAGAAACCCTTGCACTTAATTTCATTTCTAGTTCACATTCTATACTCGTCTCTTCTCATTATAGCAATTACCCTTAAAATCTAATTTCCTTGGCTTTATGCAGTCCTATTGAAACAGGCACTGAATTTTAAGAGAATTATTTTCCCAGCAATGCTCTTTTTTTTCCAGTCTTATAACTATGGAAGCAATGAAGCTGAGGGTGTCATGTAACTTCCTGAATGACATGAGATGCGGAAAGGACTCTGAGCAAGATAAATCCTCTACCGTGGGTCTTTCAAGGCCCTTGGAAGTGTGCTTAATTTCCACACTAAATAGTAGAGTGTGGAATTTTGTCATTTGCCTTGCTTGTATCTACAACAGGTTGGGCAATGGAAAATCTTCAAATGTGTGTGGCCTATAATAGAAAAATCTTCAAATACATGTGGCCTATAATGTCCCACACATATTAGAATATAGCTTAACTCTGAACGTACACATCATGGGCTCTGAAAGGTTTAGAATACGTGTTGTTTAAAAAATGTAAAGATTTTATCTCAAAGTCAAATTAGCTATGCTTTCCCCCCTCTTTTTTTTGAGGGAACAAAAGTAATTGTATTTCTTATGTAAAAAAGAGAAGAAGACTTAAAATGTTCACTGTAGTGGATGCTGTGGTGTGCTGCCTGGACATTTCCCATTGTTGGGAGTGTTGGTGACTAACAATTCTCATTCATTTAGTTGCTTTCAGGGGTTGCCCTCAGCCATGGAGAACCAATTACACCAAGGCTACAACCCCAGTCAAGGTATAAAAGGTATAAACGGCCCAGACCCCTGGCTCAAGGCGAGACAACTCTGAAGATCCAACCCATGGCTAGAGCTCACCTTGAGATCCACGGGGCCCCTGTCTGCACTGCGGTTCAACTCCTCCCGCTGCCCAACACTGATTCCTTCACTCCCTTGCAGATGTTGATCTTGAGAGATCGCTCCAGTAAACTTTGTGTGCACAAGTCTTCTCAGAGTTTGTTTCCTAAGACATTCATCTTACCAGTTTTTCTAAGACTTCCATTATCATAATTATTTTCTGAACAGTTTATGAGAGTGTCTCAAACCTCTGACAAGTCCAATTCAGTGCTGAAGCTTCCCTCTCCTCTTCTCCCCACCCTAAATACTTGGCTTTAGAGATGGAGTTAAAAATTCCCTCATAATTGCAGCAGAACTGTGGTTCAGAGCTTCAAACGCACATTTGTTGTCACGCATGGGATACAATATGTTGTTAGGCAGGCGATTTTGTCATGTGTGAACATCATAGAAACAAAGATGGTACAGCCCACTACACACCTAGGCTATATGACAGAGCCTATTCTTGTTAGGCTACAAACTCGTAGTGTGTTTTACTTTACTGAATATAGCACTGTAGGCAATTGTAACACAATGGTTAAGTACTTATATATAAACATAGAAACATTTATATGTAAACATAAAAACATAGAAAAAGTACAGTAAAAATTCAGTATAAAACGTAAAAAATGGTACATCTGCATAGGACACTTACTATGAATGAAGCCTGCAGGACCGGAAGTAGCCCTGGGTGAGGGGTGAGTGAACGTGAAGGTAGGTCATTACTGCATGCTACTGTAGACTTTATACACACTACAAACTTAGGCTATACTACATTTAAAAAAATAAGTAATCACACTATTATATTATAACTATGACATCACGAGGTGGTAGGACTTTTTCAGCTCCATTATAATCTCATAAGATCACCTATGCATGATCTGTCATTGACTGAAATGTTGCTATGTGGCACATAACTGTACATGGTTTTTGTTTTCTTCTACAGTCAGAGTTTCCAATCTTTAGTTAAGTCTGTTAAATTTCCTCAAAAAACTGTCTTGTTTTTTTTTTTTACATTAATACTTATTCCAACTGAAATTTACTACTGTATATGGGATAAAAGATGAGGGTCAATTTTTAAATTTTCTTCCAGTTGGAGAACCAGTTATTCCAGTATCATTTATTTAAAAGCAAACAAGCAAACAAACAAAATCTCATAGGCTTTTCTTCATGAAACCAACAATCATATTAAGTCATATACTGAAATCCATTTCTGGATTCTCTATTGTGTCCTACTAAATATTTTTCATAGTATGTTCTGATAACTGCTTCTGATATAAAATACTCTTATTGTTTGTTTGTATGATTTCCTTGGTTATCACCAGGTAATTATTATTTCAAATGAGCTTCAAGATTATTTTACACAAGTCCAAAAAAACAAAACCAAAGCCAAAAACAACTCAGAACTCCATTGGGATTCTAATTGGGAATGCATTAAATTTACATAGTAATTTTGGGAGGCTTTTAAAAATTGACAATCATAATTGTATATGTTTATGGGGTTTGGGCATGTGATGTTTTGATCAAAATATACATTGTGGATTGATTAATTCAAGCTAATTAACATATTAATTCCTTCACATGACATTTCTTTGTGGTGAGAATATTTAAAATCTACTTTTAGTAATTTGGAAATATACATTATTATTAACTATAATATAGTTATAGTTAATATAATGTATATATAGTATATATGTATATATAATATATAAATATATGTTATATATTATATATATATAGTTATAGTTAATATAATGTATATATAGTATATATGTATATATAATATATAAATATATGTTATATATTATATATATATAGTTATAGTTAATATAATAATATAGTTATAGCCCACAGTCACTATGCTGTGGAATAGGTCACTAAAACTCATTCCTTCTATCTAACTGAAATTTTGTATTCTTTGACCAACAGCTTGGGAAACTAAAAATGTGTAAGAAAGACTTTCCACTCAAGAACATGTTTGATTCTTCATTGGTATTTCATGTTTTTATTAAGATTTAATAGCTGGTTTATACAGGTTGTGTGTTCAGGTTTTTAGTCCTATATTTTATAGTTTTAGTCATGTGAAATTTTTTTTATGTCTATTTCTGGTGCTTAGTGCTGGAGAAGATAAAAGTTACTGACTTTTATATATTTATCTTCTATCTAGCCAACTTACAAAGTTTTATTAATATAGTGCTTTTCCAGCTACTCTGGAGGCTGAGGCACCAGAATCGCTTGAACCCAGGGGCGGAGGTTGCAGTGAGCTAAGATCGCACCACTGTTCCAGCCTGGGCGACAGAGCAAGACTTTGTCTCAAAAAAAAAAAAAGAAAGAAAGAAAGAAAAAAGAGGTGATTAAAGTACAAAGTGTTTAGTGAACTTTATTGGACTATCCACTTTTCATGGGCCATCCCATGGGACTAGATCAGAGCAGAACCAACTTTGGGAATGCATACATGGATTGTATGCTAAGATTTACAAACATTTTCAGCACATGAGACCAACTAAATCATGGAGATAAAAGTTGCAACCATAGGACGCCAAAACCATTTTTTTAAGGAAGAATAATTTAGTTAAGCGACACTTTATACCAGTTTTACTTACTTTTATTTATATGAGATTTTCCCTTTGGGTGGGCCCACGTTATTAATATTTGGCACTATACAGACCAGTCTTAGAGCGCAAGGTGATTCAGGGGCTGGATGTCATTCCAGCTCCCACCACTGTTGACATATGACACTAGGAAATCACACAACTGTGCCTGTACCTACCTCTCTCTACAATGCAACCCATGGTGTCAAGACTGGGGCTTGCACGTGGCACTCACCAATGACGTATTCCACCCTGAAGAGATCCCGTCTGGGGTCATATGGACGATTGAAGTCAATCTGAATGTAGAAAGACTGCCCTCTGCGGACAATCAGCTTGTTGTTTTCATACTTGTCAGTGTGGTGGTCCACCTTGTTAGTGTCCCATCTCTCCTTGAATAGGTGAACGCTCGTGACATTAAGAAACTCTATGAACAAGAAAAACAATTGAAGAAAATAATTGACTAACTTTAGTTTAAACACAAACTCAAAAACAAGATTTTTTTTTCCTGAAGAAGGCAGGTAGCAAGGTCTGCTGAATGAAACTCTGTAGGAGGCGGGGGTAGGGGGAACACTGTCTCGAGAGTCAGCCTCTTGTGACATTCTTGTCTTTGAAGAGAGCTTTTTAAAGCTGTCTCCACCTTTGATCTCATTTCAGTCCACAAGGCACTCACTGTGGGATAGATGGATGCCTGTCTGGGAGATCCAAACACAGAGAAGCTAGGGCCAGAGTTGAAGTCTTCAGGTTCTCAGTCTCACGCTGGTTTTCGTTATGTTAGGAGCTTCCCATCATGTCACTGCCTCACTCTGTGACTAACCAGGCAGAAGCAGGGAATAGCCACTTCAATTTTCTTATCTTTCCAAAGGAAGGAATCAAATCTGACAAAGCCTCAAGGGGACATTCGAAGGACAAAGTTAATCATTAATCCAAAATTCTCCTTTTACCTCAAGAAGGTCAAATGCCCCCTCCCTCTGTAATTCTAAAAGTAGATCTCAGCCCTCAAATTCAGGAAAGAGAGGGAGCAGGTCTGGAGAAGGACACTAACATTTCCATGAGATAAATGTGATTGTTTTCAGTTACACAGAAACTATCCTCAGCTTTCCTTAGCTACTAACGGGCCAATTCAAAAGTCAAAACCTGGACTGTCTGATGCCGACATTCACAGGTTTTTCTTTTGATTCATGGCATCAGGAGTGTAAATGTCAATCATATGTTTCTTAGTTGTCTAACTTTGTATGTGTGACTTAAATTCATTTCTTCATCATAGAATGGAGACACTAATATTCATTTCATAGCCTAACATGTTCCACATCTTACAGGACTGTGACAGGAGACGGCATGAGATGACACGTATGCAGGCATTTAGCAAAGGGTATTACACGTGAAAGTCAGCTCTCCTCCTGCCCTTTTCCCCTTCCCCTCTGTGAATGATCATAGATGAGAGAGGGAATCATCCTAACTCCCTGTCCTCACTGTACTTTACAAGATCTAGAGACTGGTTTCTGTATGTGCATTTGGTGTTGTAAAGGGTTATTGGGGAGAAAGTGGGGTGGGAAGGTAGAAGGGTCAGCAGGGGTGCCCTGGCCTCTTGCCCTCCCTCTCCCTGCCCCTGCCTGATGCATGATTTGCCCTCGTGGCTATAAGCACCGTGTGCACAGAAAACACAGCTGCTGAGCTTGTACCCATACTGGGGCATCTCCTGACATACTCGAATGGCTTCCTTTACCTTCACATGTAAATCCTGTGCAGGATGCCCGGTCCCTTTGGACCCCATTGTGTTCTGTAGTCAAAACCAAGAAGTTGGGCTCTTTAAGATCCTCTTCGGTCCTAAAGCCCAGGAATCCCTGAAACACTACTGAGCAATTCAAAGTTCAGGCAATCCTGAGTTTGAATCTCAGGTCTCAAAATTCCTTTGTGAAGGTACTTTACCTTTCAGAATCTGATTTTTCTTATTTTAAAATGAAGATACTAATACCCTAGAATGTCTATGAAGGCTCAATGAGATAACGATGCAATGGGTCTGGCCCTGTACCTGGCGCATAGTGGGTCCTAGGCTTAGTGTGGCTCACTGCCCCTAAACTGTGACAGCCATTTCACAGGGCATGGTGCTCCATGGGTTACTCTGACTGCAGCATTACAGCAAGTAGAAAGTGCAGGATGCAGTTTTATTTTTACCTCATCTCAGAGCCCTGTTGTAGTACACGTTCCCCTGAAGGGCACTTTCTTTCCATTATGCTGTGAGCTAAAGATGTTTAATTCTCTAGACCTCTCTTTCCAAGCTGTTATTCTCCTGAGTTCTCTGGTCTTATTAAGGCCACAATTCCCAGTGATAAACCAACCCAAGAATGAGCTGGAGAAGCAAAAATGTCCCTGTTGAAAAGGAGCCTAGCAGTCAACTCCTCTGGTCCTCTTTCTTAGCACAGCGTCTTTAAAAAAAAAAATTTTTTTTTAATAGCTAAAAAACAAAGTCCTTAGAAATGGGTTTCATCAGGTCTCCACTTACCAGTACCAATGGAAGGAATATACTGATATTACATCCTTACGGAATCTCACAGAACAGTAGTAGCATTTTCTCAGCCATCTGGTAAAACTACTATATCCTATATGAAACATTCTCATGAGAGCCCTACTACTTGGGCTTCTAGCTTCCATTTGAACAAAGAACTCATTATTTCATAGGGCAAACAGTCCATTTTTAAACAACTCTAATTATTTGAAAACTTCTCTTAAGATAAACTGACATCTGTTTCCTTGTAATTTTTCTAACCACAGGTCCTCGTTCTGACTTCTGGATAAATATAGAATAAGACCTCTTATTCATTTTATCTGGCACTCTCTAGGTATTTAAAGACTGCTCATAGGGTTTTTTTTTCTGAGTAAAACATTCTTCATTTATTTAACTGTTTGTTTGTTTGTTTGTTTGTTTGAGACAGAGTCTTGCTCCATTGCCCAGACTGCAGTGCAGTGGCACGATCTCAGCTCACTGCAACCTCCACCTCCTGGGTCCAAGCAGTTCTCCCTGCCTCATCCTCCTGAGTAGCTGGGACTGCAGGCACTCGCCACCATGCCCCACTAATTTTTGTATTTTTTAAAAATTTGGTAGAGACGGGGTTTCACCATGTTGGCCAGGCTGGTCTTGAACTCCTGACCTCAGATGATCTGCCCACTCGGCCTCCCAAAGTGTTGGGATTACAAGCATGAGCCATCGCACCCAGACTATTTAACTGTTTTTAAGAAGTTATTTCTAGAACTTTCATCGAACACTCTGTTTGGGAATAGTTTCCATTTTGTCAATTTCTCTTTTGAAGTGTTGTTTTCTGGAATTAAGTACATTACTCTAGTTGTGGTTTTTCTGTAAAAAACAAACAAAAAAAAAAACAACAACAAAAAATGAGACCATTACATCTTTTAAAATAAATAGTGTATTTCTATTATTTCAGCTCAAGATATTATTAGTGTCTCGGATACTCTTAACTCACTATTGATTTATATTATGCATCTGATAAAGCAAAACCCTTAAAACACATTCTTTTGGGTTTTTTTTGGTTTTTTTTGTTTTTTTTTTTGAGACAGAGTCCTGCTCTGTTGCTCAGGCTAGAGTTCAGTGGTGCAGTTTCAGCTTACTGCAACTTCTGCTTCCTGGGTTCAAGCAGTTCTCATGTTTCAGCCTCTCAAGTTGCTGAGACTGCAGGCTCACACCACCACACCTGGCTAATTTTTTTTTTTTTTTTTTTTTTTAGTAGAGATGGGGTTTTACCATATTGGTCAGGCTGGTCTCAAACTCCTGGCCTCAGGTAATCCACCTGCCTCAGCCTCCCTTAAAACACATTCTAATGTTATTTCTAGCAACAGTGGATCAAAATTCAGTTGAGGCCCCTACAAGTCACCCACTCATGTTGCTATTTGGCTATATTTATTTGTGCAATTGTTTTCTTCTGTTTAGTTTGATGTTAAGACTTTGCATGTGTTAAGTTTCTTCTTATTGAGTTTGGTTCACTGTCCCATGCTCTTAAGATAATTTTAACCCCTAAGTATGCATTTAATATATTTAATATTCTCCCTAGCTTCTTGTCCTATGGGAATGTTATAAGTGTGCTATTTTATGTTGCCACTCAAGACGTGGGTATAAATGTTGATTAGGTAACTGTCTAATAACTACTAGCTAAGTAAACGCACAGCAGTAGATGCTAAAAGGTGGACAGATAATTACGACACAGTGTCAGACATCTCTGACAAAGGAAGTAAAGAGTACTGAGGGGAGTATCAGGGAGGAGCTCCTAACCCACATTTACGAGGTGGAAAATAAGGAAGTTCTCTGAAGGAAGTGAGACATAAGCAGTGGTCAAAAGAGGGGTCAGTTGTCCATGTGGAAAGGGACATGGAGAGGAATGCCTCAGGCGGAGAAAGAAGGGTACCTGAAGACTGAGGCAAGAAAGTGCGTAGTTGCTTAAGAAATTGAAAGATGATGGTTGGCTGAAATGTACTTGTGGGAGCCATGGTGGAAGAGTAAGGAGAAGCCTGCTCGTCACGCGAGCCTTGGAGACCATGTGAAGGAGTTTAATTGCATGGTGGATCCAAAGAAGAATCTGAAACAGCAAACTGACATGATTAGATTTATATATATTTAAACTGCTTCTGGTGGCAGAGTAGAAAAGGGGTTGGAAGGGGCAATGCTGGAAGGTGAACCCAGTTAAGAAGCTGTTGCCGTGTTCTGGGTGAGGGGCCACGTGAGTTTAGCCTGCATGTAGAGGTTCAAGGCGCTGCTCCTCTGGTACTCCTGGATTCGCCTTCTCTATTTGTACCCTCCCTCCCTGCATGATAATGTGCCCCTGAAATGAGGCCTGCCTTGGCTTCCCAAGCAGCTCTACCTACAAGGCAAAGTAAAGCTGGAAAACGAGAAATCTTCAAGCATTTCTTTGGTATCACTGGTAATGTCTCATCCATCCTAGTTCTCATTGCAAATGAAAACCTGGCTTTCCAGCTTTACATCCTAGCCTAGTGTACCTGGTTCATGTCTAGTGAGACTGGTTAGTGCTAGTTTTATGGACTATTGACAGGTATTGGAAGAATTAGAGCTCCATGGTTAAACCAGTGTGGAAAATGCTGGCCTAATCAAAGCTGATCAGGATTCTTTACTGAAGCATTCATGTGAGACTTTAATATGCTGATGTATACCACAGATATCCTAGAGGGGCAACGGTTTCCAAATGTAAATGACTATGGAAACTTTTCTCTTTGGAGATCTGCATTTTTCAGAATATGTTTTTGGAAATGCTTCACTACTTACTAATTGTGCAGCCTCAGAAAAGCTATTTAATCTCTCTGAGCCTCAGTTTTCTTATTTTTAATATGGGAATGAAGTACCTATCTTACAGAATGGCTGACACCTAGTACATTCTTAATAAATGTTTATTATTATTATTATCA